GTGCCAAGTCTAGCACTTCCAAAAATATTATTTTCTTAAAATCTATTTTTGTGTGAAGAGAAAAATATTGTTGTTTAAAATGTCTCAACAATCCAACTATGGTGGAAGTGATAGCTCTCCTAAAATCATTTTTTACTTAACAAAAGAGCTAAAATCACTTAAACTATGGAAGAAGCAAGAGGCCTTTCAAAAAGAGAAGGAGAAAATTGAAAGAGAGGCCAAACTTGCTATCCTAGATGAGAAGTTGAGAATTCTTAAACAAGAAGAAGAAAAATTGAAAGAAGACATGAGAAAACACAAAAGAAGAAGACAAATGAAAATCAAAAGAAAAGAAGAAATAGAAAAAAAGAAAGAACTTTGTGCAGGGAAGAGTAAAGAGGAAGAAATATCCTCTAAAGGATTTGTGACTAAAGAGAATTGTTTTAGTACTAAAAATCCTATGAAAAAAATTCTCTTTATTCATAAAGATCTTAACTTTTGCCCTCATTCTGGCACTAGTCTTGAGGAGGAGATTCATAAATCCATTATTTTTAAAGAAAAAGAGTCTCAACTTCAAGATTTGGTGAATGAGAAGTGGACTTCACTTAGTTCCACTTCTCATGCTACTTCCTTGGTGGTGCCCAAGGTAGATAGCGTTCCTTCGTGTAGGTTTTTTCCTACCTTAGTTGTTTCAATAATGCACCCAATTTATGGAATATATTATTTGTTGGATATAAAATATGAACCTTCAAGGTTCCTTGAGACAAATTCTTTTCATAACTATCCAACAAATAATATAATCCAAAATTGTTTAGAAAATTTCTTAGTAGTATTTTCCATATTTTCTAGGAAATGCCTAGGTTACCACATAAGGTACTTTAGGCAAGATGTTTTAGTTTTTAGGATTAAGTCTTTAGTGTGCTATAGTTTTAGTTTTAGCACATTTTTAGGATTTAGTAATATATCTAGTCTATGTTTAGGAGAGGATCCTATTCATTATATTAGAAGGTCTAGTATCATTGATTTCTTTAGGTTCCATGAAAGGATTCCTTCTATGATATACCTTTCACATTTATTTGTCGAGAATATCACCTCTAATGCATTGTATTATATATTTGTAGGTGTGGTCGACCATCGTGAAGACCCTCGAGATTTGAGGTCAAATCCTTTTCAAGAGGGAGGGGATGATAGACTATGGCCAAGATCAAGGAATCCAAGAGGTAATACATTGAAGGAACCAAGAGGAATGAGATGATGGACCATGGGCTAAGGGCCCAATCTCTAGAGTTATGGCCACCTTGAAGACCAGTGGACATCTTGAAGACCAGTGGGATTTCCAAGCCCAAGGTACTCTTCAATTTGGACATCTCTATCATGAAGAGAAGGCATAGTTCTAGTTGTAAATATCTTGTACATAATTCTCTTGTATAGGCTTATTTTTGCCTTTGTATTTCTGAGACACTTTAGTTTCTTTTATTAGTCATTGTATATTGATTCTAGGGTGGGTTACTTGGAGAGTTTGACTCCATTTAACCTCCTTTGTTGATACACTCATTTTCTATTTTTTCAGTAGGAAAAGAGGGGTGGCATTTAGCAATGCTTGAGGGTGTGACTAGTAATTGGGCCAGAATTGGGCCTAGGCAAAATTTTACATATTGGACTCATTTTGCTCCTAATTTTTCATAGATTTGATTTAGCTAGGTTTCATCATCATTGGATGAACCTAACTAAACCAAATCAAACATTTTTGAAATTAATTCAAGGAGCCAAAAGAGACCAAATCCGCCCACCTTGCCTAGTCTCCTTTCTTTGACCGAATTGCTTCTCTAACCTTCAAGGAGATGAGAAGCTTGTGCTACAAGCTTCTCCTTAGCTTGCTTCCCAAGCAAGCTAAGTGAGAAGCTTGCTCCACAAGTTTCTAAACTCACCTAGAAGGTCAACTAACCTTACCATGGTTCCTAGTGAATCATGGTTAAGGTTAGCTTGCTCCTTAAGCTATCTACCTCTATATATTTATAATTTCTACTCTTGTAATCACTTTTGACATTTATGAGACTTGGAATTCAGAAATTCTCTCTCATTTCAAGAGTCCAATTTCGTGGAGAATCTCCTTCTCCTAGAAGCTTCACAAAGGAACTTCTCATTTGTACTTGGTTCTTCAAGTTTCTCTCCTTCAAGAGAAACCGAACCACCTTGGGAGGCATTTTCAAGCTTTTGAAGGTTGAACTCATTCAAATCTTCCATTGAAGTGAAGAACCTCAAGAGAAGAAGGGACTTAGCATGGTTCAACTTGAAGAAACATCAATCTTCTCCAAGTAGTTCCATCACTTGTAGAGAAGAGTGTTTGACAGGTCGAGTACCATCCAACCCATGAGAACACTTCGATCAAGACAAGCACTATTTGGATCCTTTGTTGAGGTATTTTTCTAAGATCAAGAGTCAACAAGACCTCGACTCTTAGACCTATATGATATAATTAAAATTTTAATATATTAATCAAATAACTTACATATTTTATTTTTAAAAATATAAAATAAAAAAATATATTTGAATATATAAAAATAAATAAAGTACATCTTTTATTAAAGTCAGAAAATGTATTTACAAACCAAAGATACATAAGTCGCCGTTGATAGAATGACTAAAACGATGTTTAAAGCTACGGGTAAGTGACTCACTCCCTAAAATCGAATTAAGTAAAATAAATAGAATTTAATGCATATGTACCGTGACTTTTAAGATAATTAGTGTTAGGCTTTTCAATCCATTAATACACGTTTTAATAATTTTAAAGTTAAATTCTACTTTTATTTTTTCATGATATCAAATTCGTGATTTTTATTCATTAAATTTTAATTTTACAATTTTAACCTCTCAATCTTATAAAATTTACAATATTTAACCATTTATTATATATATATATATATATATATATATAAATATTATTAAAATTATAATATTTATTTTGACTTAATATTGATGACATAATAACTAATATTTAATAACATTCATACTAAAAACATTTCACTTTTATTTTATTGTACTATTTTTATGTGATAAAAATGAGAAATAAAAAATAAATTTATCCTAAATATTATAAAATAACAATTATTATATTATTTAATTTTAAATTATGACTATTACAATTTTAATGATAAAAGAGATTAAATATGTAAGTTTCATAAAACTAATAGAATAAAATTGTTAAAAAAAGGATAAAATTAAGAATTTAATATTATAGAAGGAGAAAAATACAATTTAATCTAATTTTTTTAAAAAAATAGTTAATAGCGTTACGCATTTGTAATTGTATAAAGTAATTAAAATGTGTTGTATGTATTTTTAAGTAAGATACGCAGAACCTGCGATAAAACCGCTCATTTGGGCGTTGGAAAGATGCAGAACCAGCAAAGGAACAGTTCATTTCGGCAAAATAAAAACATACTTCTCCTCCTTTTCTAGATATAAATTAAAAGAATTTAATTTACACTAATTAAAAAAATTATTTTATATTATTTAATTTTATTTTAAAAAATTATTTCTCCACAATATTATTCAATAAAACTTAATATTAAGAATAAATAATATAATCTTAATTAAATAATTTTTTAAAAAAATAATATTAAATAAAGTAAAATTAATATATATATATATAAGGGGAGTTATAATTACACTGGTGTAACTTTTACTAAGTATTATACCGCTCAAAAACTTTATATTAAATGTGAATTTTGTAAATCTAACCGTTAGATTGAAAGTTTATATCACTTTATACGTGTATATCAAATTTTGTTAAAATTGAACAGTAATCAAAGTGTTCATATTTTAAATTATTTTGAATAAATATATTACGTTAATTTTGTTTTATAAAAATGAAGTATCAAATCATCTTGGATTAATATAAAATTTTGTATATATGATCTAAGAAATATAAACTTTCAATCTAAAGATTGAATTTACAAAATTCATATTTAACATATAATTATTGAACGGTGTAATACTTAATAAAAATTACACCAATATTATTATAATTCATATATATATATATATATATATATATATATATATATATACAAAATGTAATAAATACATTTAAGTGGACAAATTAATGTTTGGTAGATATTTATGCTGAGAGTGAGGTAGTATTTGGTAGAAAGAAAAGAAATAAATAAATAAAAGAAAAACAGAGGAGTGAGAATTATGTAAGTGAAAATAGATTAAAAAAATAAAACAAAATTTTAATTATTTGATTGGAAAAAATATGTGAAAAATAGAATATATATATATATATATATATATAAGAGAAAAAATAGATAATATTCATTATTCACCAAAATTCTCAACTTATTTTCACTCTTTCTTTCTCATTTTTTTACTCATTTTATCTCAATTAAACAAACGCTAAGAGTATAGCATGTCATCACTTTACTAAAGGCAAACTAATTCCATATTACTGATTGGATAACTTTTGAAATCAACTTATTATAATTATATATTTGTCTTTTTTTTTTTAATGTATAAACTATATATTTGTCTTCTACACAATGTATTTTAATCCACATTTTTATAAGAATTAAAGTTTAACGTTTGTATAAGAATGAATTGAAAATATCTCATATTAATATTTTTAATTAAAGTCACTTAATTTTAGCCTAAGTTGTAAAAGTTTTCTGATTTAATATTTTTAAAAGCAAATTTTAGGTTGTATATAAATAAACTATTTTAGTTCATATGAAAGACTTATTTATTTCTTTCTCCGATAACTTAAATTTTCTTTTACACTGCCATGTTGTTTTTCACATTGTGCTCATGTTGGAGTTGATTTAGGAAGAAAGTACAGAAATGAATTAGTTGTTAGAATTTTGATCACTTCCAAAATGTAATATGGGAATGGCAATGGGAATTAAAAAAAGTTATCTTAAATTTAATAGCTTCATTTACTCAAACCAAACCCCCATCCATCCACCCTCGTCCGCAGATACCATCACACTTATAAATACTCCATTTCCACTCCATTATTCTCCATCTACTCATACATACCACCATGGTGGACCCAAACTCACGCCGCGTCGGCGACACCGAGCGCAGCTGGTGCCGCGCCGCACTCGGCGGCACCGGAATCGCCGTCCTGGCCCTCCGAACCTCCTCCCCGCCGGACATTCCCCGCCTCCAAGCCGCCCTCCACAAGCTCCAATCCTCCCACCCGATCCTCCGCTCCCGCCTCCACTCCAACGCCGCCGCCACCTCCTTCTCCTTCCTGACCTCCGGGGCGCCCTCCCTCAAGCTCCAGTCCCAGACGCTCCCCGCCTCCGCCTCCGCCGACCCCCTCCACCAGGTCCTGGAGCTGGAGCTCAACCGCAACACGTGGCGCGACTCCCCCTCCGACGCCGAGGACCTCCTCTTCGCCACGCTCTACGAAGTCCAAGGCGCCTCCACCCGCGTCCTGGCGCTGCGCCTCCACGTGTCCGCCTGCGACCGCACCACCGCGCTGCTGCTGCTCCAGGAGCTCCTGGTCCTCATGGGAGAAGAGGACGCTGCGAATGCGAATGCGAATGGTGATTATTGTGATCGTAGAGAAGAGGCTAACTTGGCCATCGAAGACCTCGTGCCACGTGCCAAGGCTAAGAAACCCGTGTGGACGCGCGGTCTCAACATGCTCTCCTACTCGCTTAGCTCGCTCAGGCTCTCTAATCTCAACTTCGTTGACACCAAAGGCCCCAGGTTTTCCCAACTACTCAGGTTCCAACTCAACCAAAATCAGACCAACCAACTTCTCGCTGTAAGCTCCTTATTAATAACCCTTATCTTAATATTCATCATCTTCACATAATATATATATATATATATGTGTGATCAAATAGTATATTTTAAAAATTCATTTTATAAAGTTGTGAATATAAAATTTAATTCACTGAGATCTAACACATTTAGTAGATACTATATTGGTTGGTGTGTATAAAGAAAACTTTATAAAGAAATACAAAAACTCAGATTTGTAAGGTAGAGTGAAAAAAACAAATGATCCTTCCAAGGAATAATAGTTTTTTTTGGAGGATTTCAAAGTACGTGAAGAGGTTGGTGTGTATGCGTATTCAATATTGGAAGCTATAATAACTCTAAGAGTGGGATTCGGCTATAGAAGTTGATCCACGCTTAAGGTAAGAAGTTCGAATCTTGTCTTATGTATGCAATCGCGTTAAATCTTGGGGTCAGCTATTCTATCCTTTGATATACCTCTAATGTAGCGAGAAGATTAGTCACTGTTATGAGCCGGAATCCTAAAGAAAGGAACCAAAAAAAAATATTCGAAGCTATAGCAAAGTAGCAGTACCACTATTCAATGAAAATACCGGTACTGGTCATATGAAAGTATGCAACTAGGTGCAAAAAGGTGAAAATTGAAACGGGTCATAGATTACTTTTTTTGAATGGAATTGCAGTAACCGTTCATGTGAACTTTTCAGGGTTGCAAGTGCAGTGGGATTAAACTATGTGGGGCTCTTGTTGCTGCGGGATTGATGGCTGCTCATTGCCCCAAGCGTAGCTCCAGGAAGTATGGGGTTGTAACCCTCACTGATTGCCGATCCAATCTCGAACCTCCTCTCTCTGACAATTTTGGTAACTTTTTCACCTTTACTTCTCATTTCTCATTAATGTTTTACTTTTACTACTCATTAGTAATCTTTTGCAAGGGATCTGGGATCCCATTAACATATTCTGCCAAAAATGTTTGCCAGTAACTCATCCAGTGTTGGATATATTTTGTGAAAACAAAATATAACCTTTATCTCATACACCATGCATGTCAGCAGTAAAATTTTGTTGGAATGACTAGTCACCTCCTATCGTTGTATTTCTTATTTAGATAATATTAAAGAAAAACCATTAAAAACATATAAACAATTTTTAGCTTGAACACCCAAATTAATATTAGCTCTTGCAACGTAATGAACCCTAGTACTATGTTGCACCAATAAATCTGAGAACTTAATTAACTATAGCTTTCTAATTTTATAGAAGGTATTAGTTTGGTCCCACCTCAAGTGGATAGGTGTACCTCATGCATCATAATGCATTGTTCCCTAAATGCCTAACTTCAAGAAGTTTCATTATCAATACAAAGTGTCTATAGACTTTATCCAATCGATCGTGTGATGACTAATCTAACTATCATCTAACTATTTTGGTATAGTTTTCACTCCCAAACATTAAATATAAATTTTGATATAGTTATTGTAAAAATTACTATATATGTATTTGACATATAGCGATTTGTAAACTTTTTTACATTTTTAATCAATATACTATCTCTTCTATTAAAAATCCACTCTAAAAATAAAGAAGACGATTTTTCATGTCCTGTTTTAATTTTCATAAAATAATTTCTTTTTAAACCTACTATTTTTGACGTCATGACTCATGAGTATGCAGTATATATGTCTATTTTAAGAAAACAAGGAATAAGTAAAACAACATCGGTCTCGGCAAGAATTAATTGTGATGTTGATGTACCACACCGTTTTTTTTTTCTTTTGAATCCTGCGGGTAGAACATCTGTGTTTTTACAAAGCATTGCCACACCTTTCCCTCGTACTATAAAAGACCATTAATTAGTGTGTCTTATTGAAAGCGGACGGGTGAGTTGGTGGCAAAATTTAATTCCATCGTCATACGTGTTTTTCCAATTATTAACATTAAAATACTTAATTACCAAAAAAAAATATAAAAATACTTATACAGGAGTATTTAATTTTTTATACCATATTGAAATGGTCCACTACGTCACTTGAATGCTGCATTAAAAACTTATATACAAGACCCAACATTGAACCGTGTACGACAGAGCAAAGACAAAAGCAACGTAAAAAGAAAGAATGAATGAATTTTAAATGGCGGAACCAATGAAGCTCCGATGCATTAATAATAAAAAAAATGGTGCGATTGACAAAAGTGGGCACACCCATTTTCAGGATTTTACCACTCTGCCATTCTGAATTCCCACGAGGTGAAGGGAGAGGAATCGATGTGGGAGCTAGCGAAGAGAACATACGAAGCATTCGCGAACTCCAAAAAGAGCAACAAGCACTTGTCGGACATGGCGGACCTAACTTTTCTGATGTGCAAGGCGATAGAGAACCCGGGGCTGACGCCGTCGTCGTCGCTGAGAACCTCCGTGATGGCGGTGTTCGAGGACACGCTGGTGGACAACGGCGGCGCCAAGCAGCGGCAGATCGGGGTGGAGGACTACGTCGGGTGCGCCTCCGTTCACGGGGTGGGACCCTCCATCGGAATTTTCGACACCATAAGAGACGGAAGCTTGGATTGCGTTTGCGTGTACCCTGCGCCGTTGCACTCGCGGGAACAGATGCAACAGATTCTCGATAAGATGAAGGCTATACTTATTGAAGCTGCAAAGAGTTACACTGCATGAGGAGGATACTGTTACTGTCATATCAAAAATCATAATTAATAATGAAGAGGGTTCCGTTTAGAATAAGATTTATTTTGTTTAATAACTCATTCTATTTTAAATATTAACGATCTAATCATTAAATTTAAAATTTTTAATACAAAGATTAAATTTGTAAAAAAAATTTAAAAAAATTAAAAATTATTTAATACTTCTTTTTATTAATTCACATCAATTTATAAAATAATTTTATAATTATTCATAAATTTAAATTAATGAAATAAAATATTAAATAATTTTTAAATTTTTTAAAAATTTATAAACTTGATTTATACATTAAAAATTTTGAATTCAATAGTTGAATCGTTTAAATCTAATATAAAATATGAGTTATTCAACAAAATAAGTTTACAAATCCTTCCACCTAACTATTTTCGTTACATTTAACTATGCAATTACAAATCATGTATGGCTCCAAATTTTTACTGGTATTTTTTGTTTTGGATAAATGTCCACATCGATCGTAGTTCAATAGCCATGCACTATAGCATTACAGTTTACAATCAAGTCTGAATTAAATGGAAAATGTACTGTGTAGTGGCACGAAATTTATCTCACCAAAATGTACTAGTACTATCTGACTAATATAGGAAGAAAATTTAGCCACACATCCTTAGTTATTAGGTGTGTTTATGTTCTTATTTTGCTTCATATTATATATTTAATTTAATTTATGTCTCATTAATATATATTTAGATTTAAATATGTCTTTAATCTCTCAAATTTATGATAAATTTATTTTTATCCCTCAAATTTAAAATTATTATTTTTAGTCCTTATAATTTCAAAAAAAAATCTTTTTTTAATTCTTATATTCAAGTTTTGTTAAGAAATTTATCAAATATTATTGTATAAAATCTACTTATTAATGTTCCTGACAGTGAAAACATTACATTAAATCTGATTGATTTTACATAATCGTCTTAATTAATCACTTTCAAATATGTTATTAGTAATCTTAGGGATTAAAACAAAATTTTTAAAAATTACAGGAACTAAAATAATAATTTTAAATTTGAGGGATCAAAAATAAATTTGTCTTAAATTTGAGGTATTAAAATCATATTTAAACCTATATATTTAATATATTATGTAAAATTTCAATTTTTATTGAAGAACAGTAACGACAATATCTAAAAAATTATATCGAATGAACTTTATCTTTTAATAATAAAAATATTTACAAAGTTTTTCAGCATTAAATTTTTTATTATTATTTATTAAGCAATATTTTCTTACATGTAATATATATGATAGATAATTATTTTTATACAATTAAAATTTATTGTAAATAAATATTTTTAAATATATAAATTACATTAAATTCGAAATAAATAATTTTTTGTGATGTAATATTGTTTTTAATTATCATGGTGCTATTTAAATAATACGAAATAATATAGTATGAAACACGAAGGGGGTGTATTGGATTAGGATTTTAAAGGACTTTTTTTAGTTAAAAAAAATCCTGCGGATTTTAAAAGACTTTGAAGGATTTTCATGACTTTTAAGATTTTGCAGGATTCTACAAGACTTAAAATCAGGATTTTAATGGATTTTGCAAGACTTTTAAATCAGGATTTTAATGGATTCTGTGGGATTTTGTAGAATTTTCGTGGATTTTTTACATTTGATAAGATTTCAAAAAAAAATTCATACATTCAAATTTAAAAAGAATTAAAGACAAAAATAATAAAAAAAAACAATAATGTCTAGATAAATAATAATAATAATAATTCTCCATAATATTCTATCATCTTAAATAACATTCACCCACATATCCATAGCTATACTAGTCCTCCAAACATTAGCGTCTTTTCGCTCTTGCTCCTGAGTTTGAATAATAGGCTCAAAAGTAAGATCTTCATTAACTGGTAACATTGAAGATGAAGATTCATCCACCGCTTCAATTGAAAATTCATCGAAACGACATTCTTTACGTAGAAAGTTATGTAGTGTTGCACATACTAACACAAATTCTACTTGTGTCTTAAATAAAAATGGAGGTGCTGACTTAATTGTGAACCTTGATTTAAAAATACCAAATATTCTCTCAATCACATTCCTTAAAGACGCATGACGAAAATTGAACAATTCTTTCTCATTTTCAAGGTCATTACCCTGACCTGCAAAATGTTGTAGATGATATCTTACACCTTGAAATGGAGCTAAAAATTGGCGTCGATTAGGAAATCCACAATCCACAAAAAAATATTTACCTAATTACATATGCAATATATATAATATTAGTATAATAATAATTATAATTATTATTATTATTATTATTTAAAGAATAAGAATTTAGATATAGAGAATATATATATATATATATATAT